CTTGTCAGCCTCGTCCCTGTCATCCCTGGACACTTGTCAGCCTCGTCCCTGTGCACCTGTCAAGCCTGGACACTTGTCAGCCTCGTCCCTGTCATCCCTGGACACTTGTCAGCCTCGTCCCTGTGCACCTGTCAACCCTGGACACTTGTCAGCCTCGTCCCTGTCAAGCCTGGACACTTGTCAGCCTCGTCCCTGTCATCCCTGGTCACTTGTCAGCCTCGTCCCTGTGCACCTGTCAAGCCTGGACACTTGTCAGCCTCGTCCCTGTGCACCTGTCAAGCCTGGACACTTGTCAGCCTCGTCCCTGTCATCCCTGGACACTTGTCAGCCTCGTCGCTGTGCACCTGTCAAGCCTGGACACTTGTGACCTTGCCAGCTGTGGACACATTGCAAGGGTTGAGGTTGCGTGTGTGTGTTTACACTGAGGGCTGGTGACACCTTGCAACAATCCCCCAGTTGCACGAAGTTGAATAACATCAACATTGAACGTTTCATGATCTCTTTAAGAACACAAACTTCATTTGTTGTTGTTTTTCAGCAGAAATTATCATAATCCTCGCGATGCCTCAAGTAACACGTCGCATTCTGCACGTTGTGGTCACCAGGGTATAGAATAAGGCGTACCATGAAAGGGAGAAGTTCAGAAGTATCTACATTTTCTATGCGTTGGTTAGGTTAGGTGGGTGGTTTGGGTTAGGCCCAGCCTAACCTAACCTAGCCTAACTTAATCTGGTCTAGCCTAGCTCAACCTAACCTAATCTGGCCTAGCCTAGGTCAACCTAATCTAATCTGGCCTAGCCTAGGTCAACCTAATCTAATCTGGTCTAGCCTAGCTCAACCTAACCTAATCTGGCCTAGCCTAGGTCAACCTAATCTAATCTGGCCTAGCCTAGGTCAACCTAATCTAATCTGGTCTAGCCTAGCTCAACCTAACCTAATCTGGTCTAGCCTAGCTCAACCTAACCTAATTTGGCCTAGCCTAGCTTAACCTAACCTAATTTGGCCTAGCCTAGCTTAACCCAGGCCAGCTGAGCCCAGCCTATCCTATCCTAGCCTAACTCACCCTAACCTAGCCTAGCCTAGCCCAACTTAAGCTAACCTAAACTAATGAAACTAAAATAGAATTAATCATAATTTGGCGGGCACGAGGTGTGTGACGTCACAGTGACGTCACAGTATTCAAACTAACGGAGGAATTTAGGCTCCAGTGGCGCCCAGCCTCCGTAGCCAACGCCTTAGTGAGAGGGCACGAAATAATAGGCCTACAAGGAGGCCTACCTCATTTGGCTTTTAGTTTCTTACACCTGCTTTGGGAACCTGAAGACTTTTAAGGTTATCTGGGTCTGTGTATTGAGGTCCGAGGGATCACCTTATACGGGACCTACTTCGTCCTGTATCGGTCTCTAGTGGGTGATCAAGGGGCCCTGTTGGTGTTGGTATTTTGGTTTGGAGTGTGGATATGGATCCCTAGTTGACTGTGACTTCATACGGCTATCCTGTGACGTCGTAGGCATCAGGTGATGGGGGCTGACGTCACTAGCTGCTGTTTGGACGTCGCGTCAGGTGGGCTGACGTCACTAGCTGCTGTTTGGACGTCGCGTCAGGTGGGCTGACGTCACAAACTCTGGCCATTACGTCACAAACTCTGGCCATTACGTCACAAACTCTGGCCATTACGTTACAAACTCTGGCCATTACGTTACAAACTCTGGCCATTACGTTACAAACTCTGGCCATTACGTCACAAACTCTGGCCATTACGTCACAAACTCTGGCCATTACGTCACAAACTCTGGCCATTTCGTCACAAACTCTGGCCATTACGTCACAAACTCTGGCCATTACGTCACAAACTCTGGCCATTACGTTACAAACTCTGGCCATTACGTTACAAACTCTGGCCATTACGTTACAAACTCTGGCCATTACGTTACAAACTCTGGCCATTACGTTACAAACTCTGGCCATTACGTCACAAACTCTGGCCATTACGTCACAAACTCTGGCCATTACGTCACAAACTCTGGCCATTACGTCACAAACTCTGGCCATTACGTTACAAACTCTGGCCATTACGTCACAAACTCTGGCCATTACGTCACAAACTCTGGCCATTACGTCACAAACTCTGGCCATTACGTCACAAAGGGGAAACAGCCTTGAAACAAGGCCGGAGACTCGCCGAACGACCAATTACGTCTGGCGAGACTAATTACAAATTGGGATGGATGGAACCACGTCCAATTACGCTTTACAAAAGGAAAAAAAGTGGTTCCCAAGGCACATGGGTCTTCCCCCCCTGGCTGAGAAATATAATTAAGGAGATGAGATTTGTACAATTCATGTACGAATGCTAGTTTAGCATTCGTACGTAATGGTTCATTCGTACATTAGCAAGGGAGCCGGTCGGCCGAGCGGACAGCACGCGGGACTTGTGATCCTGTGGTCCTGGATTCGATCCCAGGCGCCGGCGAGAAACAATGGGCAGAGTTTCTTTCACCCTATGCCCCTGTTACCTAGCAGTAAAATAGGTACCTGGGTGTTAGTCAGCTGTCACGGGCTGCTTCCTGGGGGTGGAGGCCTGGTCGAGGACCGGGCCGCGGGGACACTAAAAGCCCCGAAATCATCTCAAGATAACCTCAAGATATATAGCATGGTGGTAAATTACAGTACAAGTTGCGTTGTAGACAAGACGATTTGCTAATGGATTTTAAAGCCTAACCCAACCGAGGTTAGCAAGTCTGACTTAAATGATACATTCTAATGTAATCTATCCTAATTTCCGAGTACTAAATACAATTTTAAACTAATAAATCCTAACCTAGCCTAGCCTAACCCAACCGAGCCTAAATAGTCTAAAACTAATAAATCCTAACCTAACCTAGCCTAGCCTAACCCAACCGAGCCGAGTCTAAAACAAATAAATCCTAACCTATCCTAGCCCAACCGAGCCTAACCCAATCCAGCCTAGCCCAACCGAGCCTAATCTGATTTGAAACAGCCTAATCTAATGATGTATACGATTTGGACAATAGGAAACCCAAATTTGTCGAAACCATCTTGTGAACGATCTGACCTCATAAACTGGTAACTGCGCAGATCTGCATTCTTCTTGACACGAGGGCGCAGCGCTGTGTACCAGGAACGCTGCTGATTGGTTCATTCCTTCCCTGATGCCTACTTGCATGCCTGCTAGACGGGCGCTGATTGGTTCCATTCAAATCATACCGTCCTCCTGCATGGAAGCTGGACAAGCTCTGGTTCGTTCTTGCAGACTGTGGCGTGCGCTGATTGGTTCTTGCAGACTGTGGCGTGCGCTGATTGGTTCCATTCAAATCATACCGCTCTCCTGCATGGAAACTGGACACGCTCTGGTTGGTTCTTGCAGACTGTGGCGTGCGCTGATTGGTTCTTGCAGACTGTGGCGTGCGCTGATTGGTTCTTGCAGACTATGGCGTGCGCTGATTGGTTCTTGCAAACTGTGGCGTGCGCTGATTGGTTGTTTCCCAGTATGGGAAAGCATTAGATGTTGGTTCGTGTTGTTTGTTTATAGTGAGGGTAAAGTCGCTCGCTGGAGGGATCTATTTAGATAAGATCCCCCCCAAGTCAGCCGTAAAAGTTTATTAATGTCGGTACTTAAACCTTTGAGAACAGGTTTTATATTTAAAGGTAATGAAGCAAGAGTTTCGTGCTGTGGTGGACCTTGGAAGGTGTGTGTGTGTGTGTGTGGGTGTGTGTGTGTGTGTGGGTGTGTGTGTGTGTGTGGGTGTGTGTGGGTGTGGGTGTGTGTGGGTGTGGGTGTGTGTGTGTGTGTGTGTGTGTGTGTGGGTGTGTGTGTGTACTCACCTATTTATATCAGTAAGATCGAGCATTAGCTTTTGTGTGTGTGGATTAGTTCATTTTCTTCGGGGACAGGCAGCCTATGTATGTATATACGTTAGGCTTATAATGTTGTCTCTCCTCTCCCCCCCCCCCCCCGCCAAGGTGGAACAACTGACCCTCCCCAAAACCATCAATAGTGTCCCCACACACACATGGGAGTGTACATGGGTGTCCCACATACACACACACATGGGAGTGTACATGGGGGGCCGTTCCAAACAACAGTCTTATTGATCAAGTAATTACAAAACATCGTTAGGGAGTGAATTCCACCTAGAGGTATACCCCGCTTTTCTCTCTTAATACAGTATACCCCTGAGTTTACCTTAAGCCTGGACTATATCCAGAACTAACGTATACTTGTAGGTTGTTTAGTAAGGTATTGTGGGGTCTTAATAACCCTCCACAGGTTGATATATAGACCTAAGACTCAACCCCAAATCAAATTTTGAGATTTGTTATCCATTTTCTCTTGGCTTTAAAGAAAACTGATCCCGTCTGTCTCATGAAGTTTATGGCAAACTAACCTAATCTCTCAGTGGACCTAGTTTTCTACTACTATTAATGTTATTACTAATAACAATAATAATAATAATACTAACAATAATGGTATGTTTTAAAAAAAATAAAGAATATGATACTGTGGATAATTTATTGTCACTAAAACATGAATAATTACTAAATCCACAGAGCAAATCAGGTATAAAACGACTCGCAAAATATATGAAAGATTTATTATTGGAAAGCCAGGTTCATTTTAGGCCAGATGTGTGGGTAGGTGTGTGGGACCCAGAGCGCCCACACACACATGTCTGACACACGTCTAGGCACTGACCTGGAACCTTATAGGCACTCAATATTCAGTCTGGCACTTCAGGTCAAGGGTTTTAAATGGTGGAACGAACATTGTTTATTCTCAAAGTAGGTGTGTCGGGTGTGTGTGTGTAGGTATGTGTGTAGGTGTGTGTAGGTGGGGGCAGGGACATACATGGACACATGTGAGAGAGAGAAAGTCAGAGGAAGTGTTCTCAAGAACAACCACATCTCGGCAAGAACATTCTCATGTATACTGATATTCTTGTATATTTTCATACTAATACTCCTGTTTACCTTTTTGCAGAAGTGATCCGGCAGGAGAGAAAAGCGCGGTAATACACAGGTATGTATGTTCTGTATATATATATATATATATATATAATATATATATATATATATATATATATATAAATATATATAGCTCACTATATTTAGGAACAGATAAGACAGTCATAGTTATTTTTACAAGTTTGATTTGATATGGTTTAATCTTCATATAAATTTATATAAAACGTTTTGTTTCAAACAATAGAGAAGCAAGAAATGTTATATTAAAACAGGTTAATTGTTATACTCTTTCAAGACAATTATAGACTCAAATCAAAAGGCTGAAATAAGTTATTTTTAATAGTTTAAAACTTTTTTTCCCTGTTTAATGCCAAGAGTTCTAGTTTAGTTCATTTATTATGCACCCCATACCCATCTTGTGGGCGGTAGTAGGAAAGGGTTATACCAAGAGATTATACATTATCTTATATTTTTTATATATTCTAGCATTTTATATTCTTGCTGGTGCGTACATCATCACATGACGACATGCAGACAACAGTTAAGATCAGCACTGTTTCTGAGACACAATAACCTCTGCTAATATGGAAAAACAAATGACAGTCTCCTTCATATAATCTGCAAAAAACCCTCTTTATGAATTCTTGAAGGTGTTTCAGTGGTATTTAAAACGATTTATTCCGCTAATTTAAGAAACATATGACAGTCTCCTTCACATATTCTGCCAATTTTTATTGACTTACAGGTATTTCAAGTGGTATTTAATACGATTTATTCCGCTAATATAAAAAAACAAATGACAATCTCCTTCACATATTCTGCCAATCCCTGTTTATTGACTTACAGGTGTTTCAATGGTATTTAATACGATTTATTCCGCTAATATAAAACAAATGACAATCTCCTTCACATTCTCTATTCGTTTTGACACTTGCGTGGTGTTTGAGGTTATAATATGACTTTCTTAATGCTAGAAGTGTCTCTCACCACATATATATATATACCTAACTCACATAACTATATGTAACATGAGTAATCTTCACCATTCTGTTTTTTTTTCTCCAGTCCCAATGTGTGTAATTTTAGACGGTGGTGATAATTGTTAAGTTAATTATGTATTAATTTATTTTTGTTTAAGTATTTACCAGGACTTTTACGAGACATCAACGACACGCAGACTGAAAAAAAAAATTAGCCTACAGAACCCCTTCACAGGTCCGAGTTCGAATCCACGACGATTCAAGTGTAATATATATATATATGTCGTACCTAGTAGCCAGAACTCACTTCTCAGCCTACTATTCAAGGCCCGATTTGCTTAATAAGCCAAGTTTTCCTGAATTAATATATTTACTATAATTTTTTTCTTATGAAATGATAAAGCAACCCTTTTCTCTATGTATGAGGTCAATTTTTTTTTATTGGAGTTAAAATTAACGTAGATATATGACCGAACCTAACCAACCCTACCTAACCTAACCTAACCTATATTTATAGGTAAGGTTAGGTTAGGTAGCCAAAAAAAGCTAGGTTAGGTTAGGTTAGGTAGGTTAGGTAGACAAAAAAACATTAATTCATGAAAACTTGGCTTATTTGGCAAATCGGGCCTTGAATAGTAGGCTGAGAAGCGTGTTCTGGCTATTAGGTACGACATATATATATATATATATATATATATATATATATATATATATATATATATATATATATATATATATATGACTGAAAACTCACACCCTAGAAGTGACTAAAACTAGACTAGACTAGTTTTCAGTCGCATATAGTCCCGGGGACCATTCAGGCTTGTTCGCATATATATATATATATATATATATATATATATATATATATATATATATATATATATATATATATATATATATATATATATATATACATATATATATATATATATATATATATATATATATATATATATATATATATATATATATATGTCGTACCTAGTAGCCAGAACACACTTCTCTGCCTACTATGCAAGGCCCGATTTGCCTAATAAGCCAAGTTTTCATGAATTAATTGTTTTTTGACTACTTAACCTACCTAACCTAACCTAACTTTTTCAGCTACCTAACCTAACCTAACCTATAAAGATAGGTTAGGTTAGGTTAGGTAGGGTTGGTTAGGTTCGGTCATATATCTACGTTAATTTTAACTCGAATAAAAAAAATTGACCTTATACATAATGAAATGAGTAGCTTTATCATTTCATAAGAAAAAAATTAGAGAAATTAAATTAATTCAGGAAAACTTGGCTTATTAGGCAAGTCGGGCCTTGCATAGTAGGCCGAGAAGTGCATTCGGGCTACTAGGTACGACATATATATATATATATATATATATATATATATATATATATATATATATATATATATATATATATATATATATATATGGAAATAACAACCTACAATTTTAGGAAAGGAAACACAAGGAAACGTAGACTGAATAAGCTCTCTGAATATGAGCTCACTGCTGAACAGGGTCCCAAATTGGGAGCCTGTTCAGCAGTGAGCTAAAATGACAGCTGTAGTTTCATGGCATGAAGTCAGGTGTCCTGGGAACAGGGGCGAGCAGTAGGTAATAACCTTGTTACATAATCGCTCACCAAATCTGCTAACCAGTACCTTGCGGAGGAGCTATCCAAATGTGGATATTACATAAAGTTGATGTTAATAAAGTTTTCGATTGGGCAGTAGAAAATAACACGATGTTTAACGGTGATAAATTCCAGTTACTAAGGTGTGGAAAAAAGTAGTAGTGAAAACCTTAAATGAAATACATGTTATATAAGACCCAATCAGCTCTGCCCATAGTAGGAAAGCAGCATGTAAAGGATCTGGGGATAATGATGTCTGACGACCTAAACATTTAGGGAGTATAATCAATCATATATAGTGTCAGCTAGAAAAATGATAGGATGGATTATGATAACCTTCAAATCCAGGAATCCCATCACAGCGCTCCTCTTCAAGGCACTTGTGTTGTCCCGTCTTGAGTACTGCTCAGTATTCACTTCCCCCTTCAGAGCAGGAGAGATTGCTGAAATAGAGGGAATACAGAGAACATATACGGCATTCATAGACGCGATAAAGCCTAAATTATTGGGAGCGTCTCAAAGCTCTCCAAATGCTCTTCCCTAGAAAGAAGACGAGAGAGATATCACTATATATATATATATATATATATATATATATATATATATATATATATATATATATATATATATATATATAATATAGAAAATGTAGGCCAAGTTTCAAATTTTCATAGTAAATTAACAACATACTGGAGTGAACGATATGGAAGGAAATGCAGAACAGAGCCAGTGAAGAGGAGCCAATCATAGACACAATCGGAAAATCTGATTGAACATCAGAGGTCCACGGTTGTTCAATATCCTTTCGGCAAGTATCAGAAATATTGCGTGAACAAATTTGGAAGTCTTCAAGAAAAAAACTGGATATTTTTCTTCAAAAAATTCCGGACCAACCGAGCTGTAGTGGATATGTGGGCGACTCCAAGCAACAGCCTGTTGGACCAAGCTGTCACAAGTCAAGCCTGCCCTCGGGCCTGTCAAGTAGGTAGACCTAGCTCTCACAGTCAAGCTTGTCCTCAGTCCGGGCTTGGGGAGTTGAAGAACTCTTAGAACCTTCTCCAGGTTGACCAGACCACACACTAGAAATTGAAGGGACGACGACGTTTCGGTCCGTCCTGGACCATTCTCAAGTCGATTGTGATGAGGAGGTAGGGACAGGCAATCAACATACTTCAGCCACGTTATTGTGACTCATCGCCTTCTCCAGGTATGATCCAGGTAAGATCCATACCCATCTTATGGGGCGGTAATGGAAAAACTTCAAAGAGGCATATAATGGGCTCAGAACTTAACCCACAAATTCATTTAGCTGAACAAGTTACAATCTGATAAGCTAGTTAAATATCTGATAAGCTAGTTAAATATCTGATAAGCTAGTTAAATAGTTGATGCATATGTGATTAGTCTCTCATGGAGCAATTTCGTTCGAGAACTGGACGCAGCCAGTTACTGAACCGAGCAATTTACATATGTAGTGAGCCAGTTACATATTTACTAACCTCAAGGTAAGGTACCACCCGCGCCCATACTGCGGTCAGCGGTGGAAAGTTCATGTAGATGTGCTGCCCACAGTAAGATGGATATTGTGGCTATCCTAACACAATATCCACAATTGTGGATATTGTGTTAGGATGTGTGTCTGTATCTCCTTATCTTGAGGTGGTTTCGGGGCTTAGCGTCCCCGCGGCCCGGTCCTCGACCAGGCCTCTTCGTTGCTGAATTAGTCAACCTCACTTTCAGTAAACTAATTACACACTTCTTGAAAATGTGAAATAGAATTATCTCTAAATTGTTAAATCTGTTCACAGTGACTCATTATTTTCACCACAACTCACAGATGAGGGGGGGGGAGGGAGGGAATTATCAGGGAGAAGCACCAAGTCATTACGACTATATAGCACTGGGAAGGGGTCAGGATATAAGGATTAGGGGATGGGACGGAGGGGAAGGAATGGTGCCCAACCACTTGTGGAAGGTCGGGGATTGAACGCCGACCTGCATGATGCGAGACCGTCGCTCTACCGTCCAGCCCAAGTGGTTGGGGAAGGGGAGGGATAGTGGAGGCTGGGGGAGGGATGGGGGGGGGGGGGGGGACGGGATGGAGGAGACATAAAGTAGGAGACATTGAAGGGGAAAGTTTTGTTGTGGGTCAACACAGGCTGGGTATGGCGGCTTCCTGTCCCCCCCCCCCTCTACCACCACCACCACTACCGCCACCACCACCACCACCACCACCATTACTACCCCCACCACTGCCACCACCAGCACCACCACTGCTACCACTAGCACCACCACCACTGCCACTACCACTACCCCCCACCACCAGCACCATCACCACCACTACCCCCACCACCACCACCAGCACCACCATCACCACCACTACCCCCACCACCACCACCCCCACCACCACCACTACCCCCACCACCACCACTACC